TTCCTGGCTTGCAGTTCAATTCAACTTGCTTGTGTTGGTGCTGTGGGACTTATAGAAATATTTTTGGAGGGGGCCTTCAAACAGCCCACAATAAAGTGTTTGGCACTTGGCACTTAATGCAGTGATGTGATGAAGAACCTGGGCCTGGGAATCCCATAGGCTTGGGTTCCAAGCTGTGTTACCTTGGACCAGCCACTATCCCTTTGAGCCTCAGTTCTCTCTGAAGAATGGGAAATGCTGATAGTTTTGTTGTGAGATTAAGTGAGAAAATTAATGTAGAGCATAATGGGACATAGTTCTAAATAAAAGGTAAAGGTACCAGGAGCTGTGTTGGATGCTGGGCATGTAGAAACGAACTGAACTGACATATGTGTGGGAAACAGAGGCATTGGATGAGTAATTACAGGAATGATGAGTTTTCAGACAGAGAAGAGTATGATGAATGTATGGGAGGAAGATTTGTCTGTACCTGGGGTGGAATGGAAGGGTCACACAAAGCTGCCCTGGGGTAATGCCATTAAAGTGATCCTTAGAGGGTGACCCCAAATCCTAGAAGATCCTCTCAGTATAGCCCTGGCCAAGGTTTTGGGAGCCTCCTTACAAGCTTTTGCCTTTGGACTTGCCTCCTTCACACATGCTGTTCATCTTTGGGATGAGGTTCAGTGGGTAGATGAGAAGAAAAATAGACAGTGAAAATAAAGAAACATCAAGCTTCTAGGGGTGGGGTAGGGGGGATATGAAGTCCTTTGCACAGCAAGCTTAGCTGCAGGAAGATAGGGACACATTAGAAAGGCCAACTGACCAGGGTTTGTGTGACAGGTGATTACCACGAGGCCAGGGCAAGCCCCTTTCCTGGTCTGTGCCTCAACCTCTCCATCTGTGCAGTGTGCTCCAGATACCTCATCAGCCTGTGAATGGGCTCTCCCACATGTTCCCTGGCTGTTTCCAGGCGCCTGTAGCTTTGAGGGCAGGCTTAAGCTAACTAGATGTAGATTGCATGCTGGATTGCCTGTGGCCTTCCATCTTGCCAAGGGGGGATGTGTCCCCCGGGATCAACCTCTAGTACCACACAGATGGTGCTGACTTCAGACTGACTCTAACTGCTTCTTTCACTGTGTCTCTATCTTCCTGGAGAATCTTCTTGTGGAGGGACAGAGTGGAGGTGAGGAGGGGTACCCCACGTCCTCCAGAGAGCACTGCCCCATGTACCATATGGAGATACAGAGGAGAGAGGCGTAAGCATGCCAGAATTGGGAATGACATGAGGCATCCGATTCAAATCAACACATATTTATGAGCACCTCCTACTTACAAGGGACCATTCTAAGAGTGAAGAAAAGAGCTCTTAAATTGTAGCCGGGGATCATTTAATCCAAGCCCCTCCTTTCTGAGAGAAAGGAAATGAGACCCAGCAGCATAAGGGTGGTGTGAGTTGTCCCAGGGTAGGTCATCTGGCAGTCTTAGCCCACATCTCTGGTTCCAGATCCTTGGTTCTGGGCTGGTGATACAGCAGTGCCTCCCTCCCAGCCCCCCTGAGATGTGGCTACTGTTGATTAAGTTATTTTCACGCAGAAATAAATCCCATCACCACCATCCTCTCCCCATCCCTATTGAAGTTCAGTGATTTCCTTTCACCACTTACACTCCAGGTAAATATTTCCCTCTGAACTTCTGAAGCCACTGCTTCAAGGTTCTCGTTTCCATTAATGTGTTTCCTCCTGGTTCCACTGAAAACCCTCTTTGCCCTTCCTCTCTGCCTCCTGTGGCCAAGGCACCTCTTAGTCCTCGGCTCTGTGTCTCAGAGTCTGGTCTTCCTCACTGCTTCCCTCTTCGCTCTCAACTGCAAACAGAGGTGGCTTGAGCCTGGGTCCCAAGCTCCAGGAAAGTTCTGAACTGAGGGCACCCTACAGATGTGTAAACATTTTACCTTGCTAGCCCAGCCAGCTGCTTTCCAAAGGCAACAGGAAAACCAGGGACTGAGAGTCCCTGGCAAAATAAAAACCTGCACAGAGAGAGAGGGAAAAAGGATTCTGTTTCAGATGTTAATTTTCTCATTAGAAGAGTTTTCTGTTTAAGAGGGAGGGAGTTAGCCAGGGGAGGAAGAGAAGGTTAGCTGAGAGGTGGAGTGGGGGACACAAGAGTGGGGGCTCCAGGAACCTTTGCTCCTGCTGATTCTCTTAGCAACCGGCCACAGATAGATCTGGGGCAACTCATTCCAAATCTGGAGTCGAGCTTTGGCTTTTGAGGGGTCAGTGGGGAGATAGCTCTTCACATGCAGCCTCTTAATAGCCACTAAGCCAATGGGGATTTATGATTTTGAAGTAGGGTTTGCCCATAGATTTGAGGAGGACTTGTGCTTTCTCAAGCCTTCATCCTACCAGCTCTTGATACCTCGGTCAGGATACCTTCAGGGTACCTTCTCTCTCTGGCCTTTCTGTATTTTGTTTCTAGTCAGTTCCTACTTTTCATCCTTGACATCACTCCCAGACCCTCCAGCGTCTTAAAAATGAACTCCCATTTGGACAGTCAGTGTATGCCAAGGACAGTGTATCTGCTATGTCTTTTATACTTAAAGAGAGATACAGATGAGAGAATTTAGATCCACAGAGGTGAAGTGATTCCTCAGATGTACAGCTAGTAATTGCTGTCCTCAGAATTACCCTGAGTCCAAAGACCCTGCTCTTTCTACCCTACCGAGAACACAGTCTGTCTTCTGATTTTCTCTGTCCTTTAGCCACGGAGACATAAATTAGTGCCTTTGATGCTATCTCTTTTTCTCTTCTCCCATTCTGTTTAGAATCACTCCTGTGCTCATTCATGAGACACTGACCCAGTGCCCGCTGTAGGCAATGCATGGTGCAAGGTGCTGGGTAGGGTATGGATAACCCAGACAGAGTCATCACTCTCTAGAAGCATCCAGCCTAGGAGGGACTCCAAAACCAGAGAACAACTGTCCAGTTTCCTAGAAGTAAAATGAGTTCAGAGGAGAGAAGGATCAGTCCTTGCAGGACTATCGGGGAAAGTTTTTTGGAAGAAGTAGTTTCTGTTTTAGCCACTGGAAAACCTGGAATCACAGAAAAGCAGACACAGACTGAGCATGTGAGGGGCACCTCAGTCAATCCCTTTCTTTACCAGTCAGAGGACCAAGACCCAGAGGAGGTACTTGGGGCTTCGCCAAGGTTGCCCAGCCTGTGAGAGCAAGTTGACTTTGTGTGGAGACTCTGGCCATTATGACTGCTGGACAGGGAGTGAGAAGAGAGGTGTAGGTGGACTTAGATGTTCAGCCAAAACTGCCATCCATGTCAGCTGCTAACAGAGAGATTTACACAAATTGTAAGGCCCCAGTGCCCACAAATGAGTAAAGACTGTGAGGCTTGTCTATTGATTTTGCTGGAAGCTCTCCATGCTCCTTTGATGAACACTAATGGCAGATAAATGCCCAAAGTTATGGTGACCGCAACAATTCTCCAGCTGAGAGTAGGGACTGTCCTTCTAAACGAGCATCTTCTATTCATTCTTGTATTCCTCTGTCTCCCCCCACCTGGCCTCACACATCATCTGACACTTAAAATACTCTCTTAATTAGAAAGTCCTCTTCCCCGTCCAACAGCTTTGTCTGTGCCAAGGACACTGGGTATATTCCAGAAAGACTGGGGAATGGGAGTTGATGAGTATTAAGATAATTAGATCCAGAGAGAATCTGCTAAGCGAGTTCCCGGGGTTCCCGGAGTAAGTCTAGAGGCTTCTGGCTTAGAACTTTCCCAAAGACCCAACTAAAACTTGTGATACCTCCAGGTAGATGGTGTGATCCAGATCCCTGGTGGCATTGAGGGAGGGGAGGTACTATAGAGCTAGTGCAAAGGACAGTGAATTGCGGAGTTTGATGGATCTGGGATCCACTTACCAACCAGTTGACCTTAAACCCATCCATTCCTTTACCTCCTTTACCTTCCATTTCCTCCTCTGTTAACATAATAAATATCACCACCTTGGGGGTATTACATGGATTAAATAAATTAACCTGTACATAGACCTTAGCACAATGCTGACCTGCCGTAGGGGCTTGGAAGACCTTACTTAATGAAGGAGTCTCCAGCATCTTTTTATGTTAAGAGGATGCTTTTATTTTATGTTTTTAATACTAGCCTTAGTGCTAGAGAAAAGCAAGCTGAATTTGGTCTTAGGGGATTTGTCAACGACCCTGTCTAACCTGACAAATGCCTTCCATTCTCTGCATCTCAACTCCCTCACCTGTCAAGTGAAGGAGTTGGAAGTGGCAATCTTTAAAAACCTTTCCAGCCTGGATATTCAGCATGACTGCCTTTCTTTGGGGATGAACACCAGGGCTCTCCAGGACTCCTGTTGGAGATAGAAACACTAGCTTTGCAGTCCTTGACCTTCACTTCTCCTGGCCAACTTTCCGGATACTTTGCCACCAGCGATCATTTGAGTACTGCTAATGGCTGATGTACACTCAAAGTTATGGTGACTGTAAAGGGGCTGTCCTTCTAAATGAGTATCTTCTATTCATTATTATCTTCCTCTGATTCTCTTCTCACTTCCTATATTACCCAACGCTTAAAATACCCTCTTAGTTAGAAAATCCTCTCACCCATCCAACAGCTTTGCAAAATCAAAGGTTTTCACATTTTCATTGTTATTACTGCTGTTGTTGTTGTTTTCTTTTGCTCAAGAATACAGTCTTCAAACAAAAGTCTTTCCTCTGTGTTTCATGTTAAAAACCAGTAAGTCAAACCACTTGGGTTAAAGTTGTGGGGAGAACCCCTAAAGCCAATTCACCTGTCTTCTCAGTTCCTCTAGCCCTCACCCTATCTTCGGGTGGTCCCAGAGGCACCATTAGTAACTGCCAGAACCCCACAGAGCACAGTTTGAAACTGCTGATCTAGGACATCCTGCTATAAATTTTATCAGAGAGAAATAACTTATCCCCTCTTCTTCCATCCTTTATTTATTCATCTTTCTCTTTTGGGGTCACATAGGGCTATATGACAAATGTTCTTATACCTCACGTGACCGAGGATGGGTCGTGGGCATTCACACCATCAGTGATCAAGGCAACAGAGACCCACGCTACTTCTTCTCCTTGAAGACAGACCGGGCTCGGCAAGTGACCACAATCAATGCCCACCGCAGTTACCTCCCAGGCCAGTGGGTACATCTAGCTGCTACCTACGATGGGCGGCTGATGAAACTGTATGTGAATGGTGCCCAGGTGGCAACGTCTGGGGAGCAGGTCGGTGGCATATTCAGCCCATTAACCCAGAAGTGTAAAGTGCTCATGTTGGGAGGCAGTGCTCTGGATCACAACTACCGGGGCTATATCGAGCGCTTCAGTCTGTGGAAGGTGGCCAGGACCCAGCGGGAGGTACTGTTGGACATGGAAACCCATGGCCTCCACACTCCTCTACCTCAGCTCCTCCTCCAGGAGAACTGGGACAATGTGAAGCGTGCTTGGTCTCCCATGAAGGACGGCAACAGCCCCCAAGTGGAATTCACTGGTGCCCACGGCTTTCTTCTAGACACAAGCTTGGAGCCTCCTTTATGTGGGCAGACATTGTGCGACAACACAGAGGTCATCGCCAGCTACAACCAGCTCCCACGTTTCCGCCGCCCCAAGGTGGTACGCTACCGTGTGGTCAACCTCCATGATGATGGCCATGAGAATCCCACAGTGAGCCGCCAGCAGATCGACTTCCAGCACCGGCAGCTGGCTGAGGCCTTCAAGCACTACAACATCTCCTGGGAGCTGGAGGTGCTGGAGGTGAACAACTCCTCCCTGCGCCGCCGCCTCATCCTGGCCAACTGTGACATCAGCAAGATTGGGGATGAGAACTGCGACCCTGAGTGCAACCACACACTGACCGGCCACGATGGTGGGGACTGCCGCCACTTGCGCCACCCTGCCTTCGTGAAGAAGCAGCAAAATGGGGTGTGCGACATGGACTGCAACTATGAACGGTTCAACTTCGACGGCGGAGAGTGCTGTGACCCTGAAATCACCGACGTCACCAAGACATGCTTCGACCCCGACTCTCCATACAGGTAAGACCTGCTGGGCAGATGATGCCCAGTTAAGAGCTAAACGTGACCCTGATTTTATCAGCACAGCACCTGAAACCCATAGAAGTTATGGGAATTTTCCAGTTCACAGGGCAGCCTCCTGCTGAGGCCAGTCTATTACTCAAGTACTCATGAGGACTATATGTAAGTATAGTCTAGCAAAAATATTGAGAGTCTACTGTGGACTAAGAAGGAAAGCTCAGACTCCTGTCTTCTCAAAGAGCTCAGAGTCTATATTAGGTGACATGAGCTGCTTTGCATTCTAAAGTATGTGGTAGAGTGTGTTAGACCTGCCCTATCCAATACAGTGGTCTCTAGCCACATGTGACTAAATTTAAATTAGGTTAAACAAAATTTAAAATCCAATTCCTGAGCTTCACTAGCCACATTCCAAGTACTCAGTGGCTACATGGGGCTAGTGGCTACCATATTGGACAGACCAATGTGGAACACTTCCATTGTAGCAGAATGTTCTATTGGACAGTGCTGGTGAAGTGGAGATCAGCTGGGGTCAGACAGCCTGGGTTCAGATGTCAGCGATACTACTTCCTCACCTTGTGACCTCTTTGAAGCTATTTCCTCATCTGTAAAATGCGAATAACAATGGTACCTACTTTGTCGAGCTGCTCTGAGGATTGAGAGAGAGCATTGGCAGCACAGTCTCTCTTAGAGTGCCTGGCAGCTGGTTGACTCTCAGTAAGTCTTTGTCATTACTTGTCTAATGAAAGATAGCATGTGCTGTGGTTTAGGGAGTGTCATAGGCGATCCAAGAGAAAAAATTGACTTGCAGTTTGACTATCTTGGAGAAGGCTTAGGTACAATGTGGACTTCAGAGTTGGGTCCGGGCAGAAGGGAGGACACCGGAGGCAGAAGAACTTCTTCATCTACTGCTGAGAAGAGGGCAGAAAGAGGGTTCTTCTGTCTAATCTCCCTTAGTCTCTGCCTAGCACCATTAACTCTAAGCAGCAACCCCAAAGGAAAACCCAAAGGCGAGCCCATAGGTGATCTATGTTCAGTGTGGGACCCAGAAGAACTAGTTCCAACCCAAAGAGATAGTCAACCTCCACTTTCCTGATCTCCCAGATTCTCGCTGAACTTTTCCATTCTGTCCAACACGCAGGACCCTGGACTTGCTGATAGCTCCAGCCCATTTGCCGACCTCTGCAGGTTTTCTGCTGACTCTTCTCTTTATGTCTCTCAAAAGAGCAAGGGCCTCCCATGCACAGACAAAATACCTATGTGCAAAGGAATGATGATGCTGGCTGGAGAATGTCATGCCTGGCAGCAAGCCAGGAAGCATGTCAGCTCAGCCTCCTGGCACGAGGCAGGCCCCTGGACTCTCACCTCGGCTCAGAGGCATGAGCAGCCCATGTGAGAAGAAGCCTTGGTGTGTGGCCAGTTCCTTCCAGGTCACAATGCACTTTCATCTCTGTTCTCCTTTGGGCTTTGACGGAATTTGGCAAGGAAGACAGGACGGGATTAGCATTTGCATTTGACTGATGGGGAGATAGAGGACCTTGGAGAGTGAAATGGCTCGGCCAAGGTCAATGGTCGGGAAAGTCATTCCACTAAGTCACAAATGCAAGTCTTCTGGCATTAATGCAGTGGTGCCCTACTGAGCTAGACTCCCAGGAGTCACCTGTGTGCCCAGGCAGAGTGGTACTGGGGAATGGTGAAGGGCCACAAATAGTTGGAAGTCATTCACCCATTTATTCATTCATTCAGATGTTTCATTCATTCATTCAAACATTCATTCAAATGTTTGTTCAGTACCCCTTAGCTCTATTTTGCTTCAGGAAATGCAGGATTCAGAATGATGGAGGGGTTTACCCAAAGTCACTGAGGCAATAAACGGAAAGCTTGGCTTCGAACCCAGGTTTATTGACTCCAAAGCTCCCACTGAGGGGAGGCATTTTTTTTAAGTCCGAGGAACAATAAGAAGTAGAGTTAAAGGACACAGGTGACAGGCAGGGTGGCTTTACTAAAGCCTTGGGAGAAAACTGCCATCTGATTGGGTCAGGACCGAGGGCAGCTGGCCTCTTCAGTGGGCAGGCATGCTCTGCTGGTGTGGAGGGGCCGCGGGGCCCCAGGTCCCAGATCCCTCACAATCAGCAGACAGAGCTGGCAGGCTCCAACAGCCTCCTCTTTTCTAAGTCACGAGACAGCATGCCCAGAATGTCCATGAGTGGCCACGTGCCAGCGCTGTGACCACTCACGCCACGGCCTGTTTGTTTGCTGGCTGGGAAAGTCGTGTGCCCCGGGTGAGCCTGATGGGGCTGGGGGTGACAGCTTTCTGGCTGAGTCAGCTCTCTTGTGTGCAGAGAGAAACCTGTGGCAGTTTGCAGAGAAGTATTTACTTTGTGACTTTAAAAAAAGGGAGAATGGGAAGGAGGAGGGAAGAAATGAGAAAAAGAAAGATAGAAAGAAGGTAAGCGCCTTTAATACAAGCAGTGAAAATTAGATTGACATTATCTGGGTGATTTTTAATAAATAGCTGAACTTAGTTCTCATCCAGGCTGTGCTTTTTCTCTCTCTGTCTCTTTTTCTTTCTTAATGGGTAAAGACAATAAAGACAATATTTAAATTATTACTTCTCCATCTATGGTAATGGACCAGTTTTGTTTTATTTTTTTTTCCTATGTGTTGAAAAGCAATACTTTTGTAATATACAGCCAAAATGAATTAATATAAAATAAAATTCCACAGGAATGGTGAAGTGATGTCAGAGTTCTCTAAAAGTTTCTAAATGCTTACTTTCCATTCTTGTACTCATTGCACCATAGACTGGTAAGAAACAGTTCATGCCCTGCCCACTTGGAGTAGCACTGTTTAAAATTCATCATTCTGACAATTTATGTAGCAGTTCCCTGGAGTAAAATAAGATCCACCAGTAATGCAGCTGGGCAGATTGGCAAACTCCATCGGAGAAGTACCAATTCTTCTAACACTTTTAAACTCATTCTTTATCTAATAGTCCTTGAGTCCTTTAGTCCATGTTCTCAGGAATTTATGTGTTACAGGAGAGCACCCAGTCCTAGCAGATGGCTGCAGAAGACGTCATAATAGCACCAAATGTCAGATCTAGAAATATCTTCAGAGATCGTTGGGTCCAAACTCCGTATCCCCCATAGAGGGAAACTGAGGCCAAAGCTCACACAATCAATTAGTAGTGAAATTGGGGTTAAGGGTGCTCTAAATTTCTGACTCCTGGTCAATTGCTGTGGCACAGCTTCCCAGCACTGTCCTGACGTCCTTGAGGCCACAGATACCTGCCCCTTCACGTTTTGTCCTCGCTCTCCTCTTCTTCCCAACTATTCCCAAGAGCTTGAGATTATGAAGTGCTTACTGAGTGAGTTTGGAAGAGAGTTGGATAACAGCCTTGGGTTTCCATGAACCACTGCAAAACTATTAGAGCTACATTAGTGGTGAGTTTTCTTTATTAAGAGGCCATGATAAGGACAGTTAACTGAGGATGTGTGCAAAGAGGAGGACTGAGACAGTGAGGGGCCGGGAGCTGTATCATATAACCACTTGATAATGTTTGGCCTGGATGATAAAATTCTCACAAGGCCATGACCAGAGGGCCATGACACATGCATTTCAAGTCTCTGAAGGCCTGTCCTGTGGAAAAGAGAGTAGAAGTATTCTATGTGGTTTCTAAGCCGTGGATGGGACCAGAGTGTTGCAGTTACACGAGGCAGCTTTGAGCTGAGTAACAGATTATGCCATCCCCAGGCAGAATGGTCCTTCCAGGGGAGTGCTTCTCTGCAGGTGAGTGAGCTCCCCATCACCTGAGGCATGCACAGTTAGGCTATAGCGAGGATTATAGCAATGGTGGAGGAGGTAGCCTTGATGGCTTAAGACTGCACAGCCCAAGGTTTTACAAATATCTTATTCCAAGTCATTTTAGGGAACTAAGTGGTGACTATATCTGTCCTCTTTAACAGGCACTTATTGGATATGTCTACCCCTGCTGGTCTCTCTGCTCTTCACTGAGGATGTTGCAATGAGTGGGACGTGGTCCTCACCATTGAGGGGCTTCCGCTTTAGTGGGAGAGTCATATTCAAACATAAGAAACTCTGACCTATGGTATTAGAGGCACATAGTGGGGCAGGAGACCTAAAAAGCAGAGATTTAGTCTGACTAGGGAAAACGAGGCAAGTCTGCTAGTGGAGGCATGATTCGAGTAGGCATCCAGGAACGGGGAGCACGTTGACAGGTAGAGATGCAGCCTGCATCAGTCAGGATCCTGCCAGGAAACAGATGGCACATTCAAACAGAATAATTAAGGAGAGTTGAAGGAGGGGCTTTTTTTGAAGGAAAGGCTATTCAAAATGGTGTGGGCAAGGTTTAGGTATCCCAACAAAGCCAGAGTCAGCAACAGTGGGGAGCTATTTCTATCCTTGGACTATAGGGGCAGGAGGAGGGAGAGGTTATGGAACCCAGAGAGAGTGGCTATGTGGAGAGTGTTCCCTGACAGTAGCTGTGACTCTCAGTAGAGAGGAGTAGCCAACCTAACAGCCCCCTGGCCAGAAGGGAGCTGGGAGAGTTAATTCTACATTAACATTGGCTTCCACCTTCCAGTCTCCTGCCAGTGATTCCCATTGGGGAACCAAACTGGAAGTCACAAGGCAAAGGAAGCTGTTGATGGAACCCAAAGAGGCCAGCCTCCCGAGGGCACAGAGCAGGGTGGGGAGGGGTTGGAAGTGGATATGGGTGAGCAGACAGAACATGTCCAGAGCACAGAGAAAGCCAGCCCGTGCAGAGGGTACAGCATAAGCAAGGGGGAGTTGGGGGAATGGGGTGTGGAAGGGCTTGGAGAATAAGGAGTCGTTCAGTATGGCTGGGATCCAGACCATAAGCAGAGAAGGATTCAGTTTGTCTCACAGAAAACTCCAATATCAGGCTAAATCCTTCCTCCTTGTCTCTCTATCTTTCTTAATTTCTTTCCCTTCTTCTTTCTTTCTTTCCTTCCTTCCCT